AAATGTTGGTTAATCACACTGCACAGCAGTGCGCAAGAAATCGAAATCCGAGCTTCTTTTTTAAATTAATTCGGAAAAAAAAACTTTTTGAGGTTAGCCCCCGCAGTGTCCAAGACCGCTTCCTTATCCGCCAGTTGTGAATAAGTCTGAATGAAGTCACGGTCGATACCGAGCTTCGGCGGGACCAGGCGCCGTACTTTACAACTATTCTGAGGAAATGTTGGTTAATCACACTGCACAGCAGTGCGCAAGAAATCGAAATCCGAGCTTCTTTTTTAAATTAATTCGGAAAAAAACCTTTTTGAGGTTAGCCCCCGCAGTGTCCAAGACCGCTTCCTTATCCGCCAGTTGTGAATAAGTCTGAATGAAGTCACGGTCGATACCGAGCTTCGGCGGGACCAGGCGCCGCATACGTTGTACGTACCTACGTACAGGTCTCGCGGGTTTTAAGCGTAGGTTTTGCCTTTCCGGCTACCGTAAGGTGGGGCTATTTGAGACAGTGGGGCTATTTGAGACAGTATTTAAAATCGCTATAAAATGAAGATCGTTTGAAATTTATGCTTAATTTTTGCTCAGGCGAATTACTGCTCGATTCCACACCTTCCTGAGCAAAAATATCACATAAAAATCAAACGATCTTCATTTTATAGCGATTTTAAATACTGTCTCAAATAGCCCCACTGTCTCAAATAGCCCCACTTTACGGTATATCTTTTTCGTCTTCAGCTTTGTAGGCTTGAAGATGTGACCGATTTATTCGTATAACTCCCTTTCATGATCATGGAAAAAGGTTTGATCGTATGCCGGCTAGTTTCGGAGAAATTAAAAGAAAACCTCAAAATTCGCCGTTTGGGGCATTCTGACCGCGGCTTCCCTGCAGTCGCCTATGACTACAGTGGCGCCATCCGACGAGTAGGACGCTGAAACACAGAGGCATGAATGAATCCAGCGCGTGCTGAAGGGTGGATAGAGGCGGGACTCGGCAGAGGCTATCACTGCGCCCCGCGCAAGGCGTCCTTGGACAGCGGGCGAGCCTTCGGGCGGTGAGGCCAGAGGTCACGACAGCCAGGCTGTGTTTGGCATGAAGGGAGGGGAGGCGCTCGCCTCAGCCAACTCGGCGGGTTTGGTGGTAGTGGTGGTGGTGTGGGGGGGGGGGGATGGGCGGCAGGCGAGAGGGGCTAGAACGAACGGGATAAAATAGAATGGAAATGTCGTGGATGGTCAACTTACAATATTGTTTACCTTATAAGCATGTATTAACATTACGAAAGAACCCACCATATTAAATTGAGGAACATACCTACAGGAAATGTTATTTTTCGATGTTACCGCTTACTTTTAATGGAAACCCTACTTCTTATTAGGGGTGATAAAATGAACCCCTCCCCTCGGTTTTTCCTGAATAACTCGCGTAAATAGTGGCGGATAACAGCGAAGCTTTCAGTGCCGTAAGTTATTTTTCTCACCATAAGTAAATAATAACCATGCGGTCAGGAGTCAGGATAAGTTCAGGCCATCTGCAATTAAAAGTTTACACCTACCTTGAAAATTTCATGACCCTGACCAAAATGACCTTTGGTCTGTGACCAGTTTTTAGAGCCCATTACAGGCCAGAATGGGCATTCGGCGAGTCAGGTCTCATTAACCGTTCGTTTCCAGACTTGTGATTAGAAACGTCCCAACATTTGAAATTGTGTTTGGTCCCTTCACCTTGTGTCTTATTTGGCCGGGACCAGCGCAGGAACTTGGCCGGTGCCTCAGGGCTGCTTAACTACAAATTTGCCGATCTGCGGAGCGCATGGAGCCGATCTAGCCAGGTTGAAAACCACTAGGAATGACATTGCGGCACAGCTAATCTTCAAGGTTTCCGCGCCCCTAGAATATCTGCTTTTTAGCTGCCGGTTTCCGGTCACATGGCCTAAAGGCGAGGTCACTAGCGATGGAAATGGAAACACGTTGAACAGGCTAGTGAGAAGGATTCACGTTCATTTTAAATCCGTGCATTGTCGCTTAATACCTATACCGACCGTTTTCTAAAGAGGCTAATTTCTCTCTCTCTCTCTCTCTCTCTCTCTCTCTCTCTCTCTCTCTCTCTCTCTCTCTCTCTCTCTCTCTCTCTCTCTCTCTCTCTCTCTCTCTCTCTTCTCTCTCTCTCTCTCTCTCTCTCTCTCTCTCTCTCTCTCTCTCTCTCTCTCTCTCTCTCTCTCTTATACCGAAAGCTCCATAAAAGTTCACGACAAAAACTTCAAGGCAGGTCTAGACCCCTCCGACTATTGGGTCATTAAACTGACTTGGAAGGTCAACGTATGACCTATGGTCAATGAATGACCTATGATCTATAAATTGGGTATCATCGGCTTCCTCTCGTCACGTGCAACATGTTCCTTCTTTTCAAGAAGCTCTAGTTTGATCAAAAGCCGATTAACTGTGGGGTCTGATCCATCCCCGTCCAAACGTTAGCGCCTGCGAAAACGCCGATATGGTTGCGAGTTATGGCATATTCCTAATGTTTTGCTTTTTTAGTGGCTCACTTCGATTTTGTTCTAAAAATAACGCAAAAAAATCAGCTTACAGTGATGTTACTTAAATTCTTACGCCTCCTGGTTTCCTTTTCATAATACTGCAATTTTATTCACGCAACATATTTATTGGTAGTTTCGTGAAAAAGTTTTGGAAATATAGTGCAGCAGAAAACAAAACTTCGTTGTGAAACGACCTCCAGCCTCAGCAGGTCACGGTTAACACTCACTTCGTTGGGGGAGGGGCAATATAGCCCCCCTGTGTATTTTCCTGAATAGCAAAAAAAAAAAAAACGGCGGCGCGCAGCCCCGCCAAATTTTCAGTAGTTTGCCGGGAATCAATTTGACACCTTCTAGAGATGTCAATCGGATACCAACTTTTTGGTATACCGATACCAACTCGGTATTTGGTATTTCAATCCTAATGTGTTTGGTATTTTGTTGGGATCATGAACCCTCGCCAGTGTCCTGAAATTGGTTTTTCGGAGAGTGTGATTGAAGCCGCAAGGACGTCACTATTTCAAAAGGACGTCGATATCGGTACGGAGCGTAAGCCACTGAAGATCCCTTAAATCTCTTAAAATTAGCGATTTTCACTAGCAATTTTGACTAATAGCACCTCAAGGCACCTCAAATGATCATATACAGACACAAAGTAATGCCAATTTACCCCTAGTACAATACAAAATTCAATCATCCACCACAAACACCAAAACAACACTTTGAAGATGCTTAGTTCTTGTCCATGATTGTACACAACAGTCAACAACAAATATGCTTCAACAAAAATCAGCCCAAGAGTCAGCGGCTATCACTAAATATTGACGTCATAAGAGGGATATTATATCGAGCAAGAAGAGTGACGTAAAAAACAGACGTCCAAACAAAGAGTTGGAAAACAGTTAGGAAAGTTAATTTCCATAGCTTCCTGTTGTGAAATTCAATTTAGAATACTTCAAGGTAGACGCTGAATTTTTCTTGGCTGGAAAAAATATGAAATCATTGTGCACTTTTCAGTTTTGTACCGACGTCGATTAAATGGGAATGACAAGGTCAATCGACGTCCCCAACATTGCATGTATTTTTAAGCCAAGGACGACATAGGCTTTAATTAAAGCTGTTGAAATTCGGTAACTTTATGCTAATTGAAACAAATAAACACAAACTTTTTCCCCAACCACTATCAACATATATGCAAAATTAACTACTTTTGAAGGGCATGTTCAAGGGGCAGCGCTACCTCGTTACTGTGACCTTCTGAGGAGGAAAAATAATTAAATATGTTACAGTAATTTGATACAAAAGATATGTTGTGTGCTTATAGATAAATGTCGAAGTAATATATTCGCACTATTAATTTTTATCTATACGCTGCACAGTCACTAAAACTGAAAAGTGGAAAACGACGTCCTCAGATCCGCTCTATTCCGACATCTTTTCTCCTTCATATGGTAGCTATTACCGTCACATGGTAAAGGAAAAAACCTATTCATATCTGACGCACAGAAAACGAAAATAAAACCGCGTTGTTTACTGTTGCGGCAGGTGGCCAGCGTTGTAGGAAAGGGGAGTTGAGTATAAGAGTGAGTTTGTGAGGCCTTAGGATATATTTATTGTCATTTTGCATACCTAGTCGTGTTTTTAGGCTACATAGGTGATATTTCTTTTTATTAGTTTGCTTTTGGTGTTCGATATACCTGTCGACTTTTATCTGTCAGGGACGTCGTTTGGTTTTCCGGGACGTCACAAAGAGAATCTGTTCGGGTGTGGGTTTCCACCCAAATTCACGAAAATCAGGACACTGACCCTCGCTAATGTTTGAGAGGCTAGAAATCGGTAAAAAATTGGTATTTTCCTCATGTTCCCAAGTTGGTTTGGTTTCGGTATTTCTCCACGGTTTTGGTTGGTATTTGGTTTGGTATCGGTATTCCGATTTTCCGTAACTGACATCACTAACACCTTCACACAAAATCACAAACCTTACCTGTAGATTCTGTATTCCTCAGCGCGCACCCTCACACCGTCAGTCCATCTCGCTCACTGACTCACCGCCTGCCCGGACACAGCTTGGCCCCGGCGGCAGCGACCTGACACCGCCTGAGCGAAGTCCATCCGACTCGCATCGCGGAAAGCATCACTTAGCATCGAAAAGCATCACTGAAACTACACTCCACCCTTGATCTCAAAGGATCAACCCATCGATTGGAAATACTGGGCCTGTCTACGTTCCCGCTCGCTTCTACGTGGAATCTGTCGCTCCTCGTGAGATGATGTTTTTCGTACTCCAGCGTAGATGGGTAGCCATTCGGCTTCCACGGTTGACAGTGATGACATACGTCACAGCCCAAATCTTTAACGAGCTTGCAAAAAAGATGACGTATGTCATCACTGTCAACCGTGGAAGCCGAATGGCTACCCATCTACGCTGGAGTACGAAAAACATCATCTCACGCTCTCAGTCCCAGCGGATTAAAACAACACCTAAGACTGTCGCTCCTCCTCGCCCACAATCTCAGCTGACTCTCCCTCCACGACTACCGGCCCACTGTTCCCCTCTGAGCCCACATCATTCACCACCGGCACGGTAATGACCAGACTCTCACCGTCCCTCTCTCCCTCACTGTCGCCCTCACTAACGGGCCCCTCCTCGACGGCGGCATTCCGTCGGCGTAAATTTCTCACGTGCCACGGCACTCCATCGACTTCTACGACCTGCTCAGAAACGACATCAGACACCGTGCCGGGACGCGACGCATCAACACACCGAGTTCCCCGACGACGTACCCAGACAGGGTCGCCAACACGATACGCGGCTGCCTCACTGTTCACTGGTACGGGGTTGGGCGCCGGCGGTGCAGCAGCGGGCCGCACATTGTCCCTCACATTGTACCGGAACACGACACTCGCGGGTGCAGATCCACCCTCGCGCGGCGTTACATTGTACAGGTGGACTGCCTCGGCCACCGAGCATTGTTTTCGCGCAGCAATGACCTTGATCGTGCGATGGTTCCGCTCAACTATCGAATTGCCAGCCGGCTCATGAACCGCCCTAAATCGAAGACGCACGCCCCACCTCGCTGCAAAAGCCGCAAAACTCCGACTGCGAAAGATGGTGTCATTATCACAAAGCAGCTCCTCAGGTGCCCCGCGCTCGAAGAAGATCTGTTCGAGCTGAGCGATCGTGACATCAGCGTCCGGACGACTCAGGTGTCGCCACAGACAGAACCGCGAGGGTCCACAGTCCACAACCGAGAGAAACGACTGGCCCCGGTAGTGCGTTACATCAATTGCCAGTCGCTTCCATACGTCAGACACTTCCAACGAGCCATGCCTCCACTTCATTGGCGCCGGATCGATTGAGCGGCATGCGTCACACTGGCTCACCACATTTTGCACTTGAGCTCGCGTCACGTCCTTTGAAATGTCACGCCGTGCAAAGTACAGTGTCCGACGAACCCCGGGATGTCCGGCGCGGTCATGCACTCCTGCGATGGCCTCCGCAATATCAGCAGAGCCTCCTGGTGCAAGCTGATCCTCCGTCCGGTCCTCTGCCGCGCCGGCCGAGTCTCCCCGCGGCGTCATCCGATCCACCTCAGCGCTGCTACCACCTGCAGCTGCGACTTGATCGCCTCCTCTCAGTACTGCCGAACCCGATGAATCGTCATCAGAGTTAGGCAATGCCAGCCCATTGGCCGCAGCCTCGCAGCCGGCCATTGTCTCAGTAGCTGCAGGCGATGACTCATCACGCAACCAGTCTTTCGGCACTCGGGTCAGCTCGTCTGCTCGATTCGCTGCGCTCCGCACTAGAGTTACAGACAGCGACAGCTCGAGCTCATCCACCAGCTGTCGAATCATGTCGACCCTGCGTCTGATCAACATCTCTCCGTGTGCCTTGGTGCGCAGCCGAGTGCGGCCGCTCAATGCATCGTTGATCCAACGGTGCACTGTGACCGAGTCCGTGCGCAGATCGATGACACGCATGTCCCAAGCGACGGCCACGTTGATGCCTCTCACGGCCGCATTTAGCTCCGCAACATTTATGTGTGTGGATTCATCCTTCCTCAGCCAGCATCCGTCTTCAATGACGTCGCCGCCAGGTGACTCCACCACCACACCCGCTGCTACGGAGCTCGCATCCACCCAAACCACAGCGCGGTCGCTCCGCACGCTCCACAGACCGTGTGCCGGATCGTGACTGGCTACCCGAGCCGCGACATGACTAATCTGCTTCTGCAGAACTCCGTCGTAGGTGATGTCATCCCATCCTTGTGTGACGTCATTCACGCGTCGTTTCAGCCAGGCCACGGCAGGGCGGAGCCAACCACACACGGGCATGTGAGCGATCAGGCGTCCGCACCACGAGAACACTCCACGGCGCGTGAGCACAGCCGGTGGTGGTCCGACTGGGTTGTCTCTGCTCCACACCAGCCTGCCAAGCTCCCGTGAGACTCGCAGACCGAGCAGACGCGCGCCGCCTGCCGCCCGCTCTGGAGGCTTGCACTCGAGACCAAAGTTCGCCAGATGAGCCACCACTCGCTCTGCGCTAACAATGTCCTCGTTCACCAGCAGATCGTCCACGTACGGAAGCACTGCCCGGTTTATGTCCGCGTCACGTTCCAGAACCGTCCGAATCACCGCCTTCATGACGAGCGGAGCCACGCACAATCCATAACCGAGCCGTGTCAAACAATGTCTCTGGTTTTCGATCATCACCGTCTGAAACGGCCACAGCTGGCGGTCAACCTGAATCTGCAAATACGCGTGACGTAGATCTACGACCGCAACGTTTTCGCCATGTCGTCGCCACTTCCTCAGTTGGTCCGCACAGACGTCTGCGTCAGCTGTGTGAGCTGTCAAGTAGTTGTTCAGTTCACGATAGTCAAGCACAGGTCTCACTTTCGATTTGTTCTTTTGTTGGACTGCCATTAAAGGCACCAGACCCTTTGGTGGGCCAAGCTCTGACTCGTTGTAGGGAATAAGCCAGCCCTGCTCCACCCAACGTTTGAGTTCATCGTCAAATTCACGGCGAGCGTCACACGGCACCCTGTACTGTGCGACAGTGTTCTGCAAGCACTCTGGCTCTGCTCCGTCAGTCCACTTCCATTTCATTCTCCACGCCTTAGATGTCGGATCAAAGTACACGGCATAATCTGGTGCATCCACAACTGGTGCCCGGTCCGGGTGCAGGTCGGTCGGTGTCGGTTCGGGTTGCGCCGCCGTCTCATTGCAGCCCGGATGCAGCGGTGAGGCTGCTCCATCCGAGACGCCACTGGCAGCCGCTGCAACTGGAGCGGCCGGCACAGCTGAGTCCACTCCAAAGTTCACTTCACTGGATGCACTAACGAACACGCCCTGCAGAGCAGTCACACCGTTCATTCCCAGAATGAATGAAAAGTTCAAAGGCTTTCTAGCAGACACCAGCACTTCCAACTCAACTCGAGCACCAAACATGGTCTGCACTGACACGTAACCTCTGCCTTCGCATGCGTATCGTTCTCCACTCAGTGTCACAACGTCGATTCGCTCCGCAGACCAGCGGCGGCAAACGGAGGAGTGCGCGACGCTCACGGTGCATCCGGTATCCACGAGGGCTCGACACATCACTCCGTCCACCGACAGGTGCGTGGTCGGCAGAGCGCCACTCACTGGTGAGCCGGAGAGGAGGCTGGCGCTGAGGCCACCTCTCCGCCGCCGTTTTCCGGGCAGGTAGCTGCCACGTGGCCGGGTCGGCTGCACCGGAAGCAGAGCCTGCTTCCGCCCAAACCACCTCGACGTCCACGGCCACCTCGACCACGAAGACAATCGCGGGCCAAGTGGTTGGGCTGTCCGCACGCATAGCAAACGGTGGCTTCCTGACGGCGCGGACCGCGGTGGTCTGCCGCTGCAGCTACCCCGAGAACGCTATCTCGACAGAGGATAGCACGGGCCCGGTCCACCATCTCCGACAGAGACAGGGACTCCATGCGGGCGCCTGTCTGGAGAGCGTGCCGCACGGACTCGGGCAGTCCTGCCACAAATGCGCAGCTCAATCCCTCTTCGTTAATGCCTCCGAAGATCGACGACAGTCTTTGTAGGTCCGCCAGAAACACATCGACGGACTCGTCGACCCGCAGCTGGCGATCTCGGAACTCTTCGTAGGCTTTGAACTTGTCGACTGCAAACGCACGCTGCAAAGCCGCCTTCACTTTCCCTGCGTCCGCCTTGTCGGCTTCACTCAGTTGGCGATAAACAGCCGAGGCACCCCCTGTCAGTCTCAACGGCACCACCACGGCCAAGTCCACTGCCGGTTTTTGCAGGCCACACACCAGTTCCACCTTCTCATACCAACACGAAAAGTCACTAGTGCCATCATACTCCGGGATAAGTTTCAAGTCGAAGTTCGCCATGATTGCCGAAATAGCTTGTAGATTCTGTATTCCTCAGCGCGCACCCTCACACCGTCAGTCCATCTCGCTCACTGACTCACCGCCTGCCCGGACACAGCTTGGCCCCGGCGGCAGCGACCTGACACCGCCTGAGCGAAGTCCATCCGACTCGCATCGCGGAAAGCATCACTTAGCATCGAAAAGCATCACTGAAACTACATTACCTTACCTTACCTTAGGTCAGGAGTTATTGAGGTCATGTTTGAGCAAAAATGAGCAAAAAACACGAAATCTTTAAACGCTCATAAAAGCTACAGTTAACAAGCAATTTCAAAGCTCTCTATCTGGTCGTGTAGAGGAAAGGCGGCGCTACAAAACTGCAATCTGGGATTTGCAAACTTTTGAGATTTTGACCCCCAAATAAAAAATTAGTCTGTTATAAAATAGCAAAAAAAAGTTTGTAGGGTTAAAAAACGGAATACATATAATATTCCCTGCTTTCTTCGATCAACATAACAAATTGTAGATCGATACCCCCTTTTTGGCCAAGTTTTAGCAATAAAAAAGTTCAAAATTGATGAAGTCAATTTTTAAGTCAGTTTTTAGCAATTCTAGACCACGTAGCGCAAAACAAAGACCACCATTAGCCTTCCCGTGACGAGCTGCATCGAATCGATATCCATTTTATGCAAAAATATCAAATTAGAAATTTGGCCAAATTTGACCAAAACTTTACCTGACCTTCACCAGAAAATAACCTAAACTGGCCCCAAAGGCTGCCTGACCCACATAATCGCATTTGTCATGTAAAATGGACCAGTAAACATGCATCACATAATAGTTATTTTCATATTGTGACCCTCAGTGACCTGACCTCTGTGACCTGACCTGGTATCAGTGACCTCAAATAGCAAAATATGTGTTTGACGAACAATTCTCCATCGAATATTGTCATTCATCGATTCCTTATCGAAATGAAAATTCGACATTTGACCTGACCTGTGACGTCATCGGTTTGACTGAGGTCAATGAAATTGAGCCAAAAGGTATTTCCTCGGTGGGGCCTTCCAACACCGTTTGCTGCTTATCGCTATTTTGCGTGGTTCTCGAGATCTTGGGGGGGGGGGGCAAAATACTCACCCCCCCCCCAATGGGACCGATGCTTGGTAGACCCTAACGGGGCGCGGGTTAAGTGACATAACTGTTCCCAAGAAATAACATTACAGTCGTCTCCCGGCCTCAATGGTAAGCGGCTAAAACTTACGACTCCCTATGGATCGGCACGCTGCCGGCTCACTCCGCCCGCTGGCTACGTGTGGCCTTGACCGTTCAATGCCGATTGGCCAACGGCCGAAGTCGTGCGCTGATCAGCACGCAGAGAGGACGGGACGCGGTACTGCACATTGTGAGTGACCTCTGACCTTTCCCCGTCCCCTGACCGCATGCCGTGTCGCCGGCCCAGACGATAGAAACCGGTTCTAGCCTCTACGCAGGCTGCCACTCTGACACTTCCCTCCCCACTTTACTATGTGTCGTAGTACGCACTCGCGAGTAACTGGGCGGAGCAAATGGTCGCCGATACGGAGGCGGAACTGGTTGCCCTCCCGCTCGCCGAGCGACCTACCGCTAAAACCCGCTAGACCTGTACCTACAATGAAAAGGCGGACAGACACCTGACCCCACATCCTACTGCCGTGACCCGTGCTTCTGTGGGTGAAGCACTGAAGCATCACGGAATCCCACAGGACCTGCGAGTCGACGAGGTGGCCGCTTTGGCCGCCGCACAGTGGCCCTTTTTCAGAATTAGCACGCATAAATTCAAAATATTTTTTTCTTCTTTTCAGTAACAAGCAGTCTAATCGTGTGCAAAACATTCCAAACTATCCGATGGTGCCATTTTTACCTCCTAAAAAATAATTATCTTTGGTAAAACTGACCGCAAAATCGAAGTTTCTCGAGAGGCGCGCGGACACCACCGGCGGACCCTAAAAAGTAGGGTGAGATGAACATCAATTTGTAAGGCTTTCGGTGAGAAAATATTAAAAATTAGTGGCATGGCTGTGAAGCTGAGTTTACGTAGAAGCCCTAGAAACCACAATTTTCATTGTATAAACTTAAATAGACCACTTTTGCCGAATATTGTGGACACAATAACAGGACAATTATTAACTGGAGATGGCGGCATACATATGAAGCTTTATGTTAAGTAACACACTCTGGGACATATCGTATTATACATCGTTCGAATCGCCGATCTCTTCTGACCATGTCCACCAAAGGGCATCGCGCCATTTTGCGCCATTTTGCTTCTACGGTGAATAACGTGAGCCAGTTCAGTCCGCGAGCGGCTGTGGCTCCTATTCGATACGACTAAGCTCATTGACCTGGCTCGAAGCTGGTGTCACCTGGTGGGCGCCTAAATGTGGCTTGACTTTTGCCATAAGATGTGCTTATTGAAATTTCATATAGGCATAACGCTGTGCTCAAGAAAAACTGTCCGATTTCACAGTCACAAGTCCCGTGGTCGGCTTAAGATCTAACGCCAAAAGCGCCTATGTGTTTGTATTGTTCGCGTCGCGCTGACCTTAGTTGCTGCCCGGCCGGGGCCGATTAACGGTGGCTGGCAACAGCTGCAGATGCGGTCACGTGACGCCCTGAGGCGTCCTGGCGGTCAGTGCAGCGCGGTCGGCTGGCGGGCTCGCCACACTGCGTTCGGAGCGGCCTGGGCCGGCGGGCGAGCCGTGCGAACGTGCGCCAAATCTTGGGCCGAGCGGCCTGTCGCTGTTGGGCCGAATCTCCTTGGGCAGTTCGTTTCTTTTCTTGTCTTTGCATTGGCAGGGAATACGTCCTTGATCACGTGGTGATGTCTTGCACCACTTTCAGGTAATGTGGGAATTAATGCGTGCTAATTCTGAAAAAGGGCCACTGTGCGCCGGGTACTGCAGCTCCCTGGAGTTGCCTGGGACCGATGCACTATGGTTGGAAACGACCTCACGGATGGCCGGGGGTCAACGCGAAAAAATGTTTTGCCCATAACTTGTTAATGCGTCGACCGACTGCGATGAAACTTTGCATAGGTATACCAGTGTCTTTCATGCATCATACAGTAACTCAGAAATGACGAGGTCACGTCACGTCACGCGTGTGTGACGCCATCATTGCAAGTATGTTATAAGTCGCCTGTCTTTCGTAATGTTATCGATATCGCGAGGCATTTTGAACATGTTTTGAATACTGCTATTACTGAATGGATATTGTTGTTATGCTTTAGGGCGAGAAATATCAACGAAGTGACGCACAGTGTCTTACTATTGGTCATAAAGAGTCAAACATTTGGACAAAGAGTATTTATGATTTTTTTTTTAGATTGGGTGAAAAGTAAGAAATAAAATGACGATCAAATGACAAAACATGCGTCAGATTAACCCGGCAGTTGCTGGGGTATTTCCCCATCCGTCGTTTGCCGGGGGGGGGGGGGGTGGCGTTCAACGCCCGCAGCCGATAACTCGCGAACAAATAGGCGCAGCGAAACGCACGAGGCGGCAAACGAAAGAAGAACGCGACGAGACGATTCACATGAATACTTTAAAGTTGAATTTCGAGGTCACAGGTCGGGTCAAGGTCAGGTCAAACATTTGAAATCGGGATTTCAGTAGCATGGACTTTAGAACCTCGCAATCGGTGCCTCGCGTTTCGCGTTTCGATTATATCGTGATCAGTTGGTCCTAAATAAATTCAGTCATCAGTTGGTCCTAAACAATCTGTCATAACTGTCACAACTGTCACAACCCTTCATATAAGTGCTAAAAGAGTGTCAGATCAATGTAGGGGTCAGTCAAGCATAGGCCACTGGCCAGGGTCAACGTCAGGTCAATCAGGTAAGCACATAACCCCGAAAATTAAAACTGGTACCTATTCGCAGCCCATGACACATGTGTTATGGGTACTTTTGGGCGTAGAACACGATGGTGACATTCATTTTATCATACGAGTACGTGGCTGGTTGAAAAA